TTTTACTGTTTTTTTTTTTTTTTTTTTTTTTTTTTTTTTTTTTTTTTTTTTTTTTTTGCTCTTCTAATAAGTTTATAAACTCATTAGCTGTAAAGACCGAAAAAAAAAAAACCAGACGTACTACTTCTCAAATTTCAGTTTTAGTTTTCTTTAATAATAATAACAATAATAATCATCATCATAATAATCATCATCTCCCCAAAGAAAGAGACTACACGCAAATACGAACCAAAAAAAGCAAAACAGATAGAAATAAACAGAAGTTTGTTAATCAAATATCTTTTTTATTTTTTTTTTCTTTTTTTTTTTTTCAGCATTGGCCACGGTAATAGATAATCATGAGGAAAAATAGAAACAAAAAAAAGAAATGATGGAATGAAAGGTATATATATATATACTTGCCCAGTACACGTATGTACAAGAAAAATGAAAAAATGGTATTCTGAATCTCTCTCTCTCTTTTCTTTCTTTCTTTCTCATTCTGATTAGAAGAAAGACATTACAAAAAAAAAAAGGAAAAAACAATAAAATACAAAATAAATAAATAGCACCATAATAATAATAATAATAATAATAATAATAATAATAATAATAATCCATTAACACACTATCCGCGTCTCTCTCTCTCTCTCTCTTTTTACTTTCCCCGCACAAACTCAGCAGCACGACGTAATGGTGTTATCCGCACCTTTGTGAAGGGCATTACTTCACCATCCGACATGAGACCACCCTCCAAGGCTTCCAACTCAATAGCCTCAGCCTTTACATAACTCACATACGGTAGTTTAACGTGTTTTCCTTTTTCCAATCCCAAGAAGAACTTTAAAAATTGTCTTCGACCAAGTTTAACATTCTTTTCCTGTGAATAGACAACATCAATAGCTCCATCACTCATATGAGCAAAAGGGGCAATCATAACATCTTTGGTCACTTCACGAATATTGCTAATAAAGATATTGCAGTGATTCCCATCAAGAGAGACCCACGGAAGGTTAACATCATCATAGTTTACATTCTTTACTCTTTCATTAGACGGCTGCGGAGGGATTACAGATGATACACCTTCTTTTTCTTCTTTTCTTCTTTCTTCTTCTTCTTCTCTCTCCTTTACTACCGCACTCGCACCATTTTGATAAGTATGATAATTACTATTCGTTGCATGAGTATGCATTTGACAATGTAGACATGTGTGGTCTATTGTACAAAATGGAAACTCCATCTCTGTTGGTATATTATCAGAGGAATCAATCTTCTGTAATTCTCGTCCTTCATGTCCTTTCCATGGTAAATAGCGAAATCGTACTCCATATGGACGTACGCCACGAATAAATATATAAATAGAATATAAGAGGAAACGACAATTTCCCAAACATCGTAGTTTCTCAGATCCCCGATCAATTTTATTCACAACACCAAAAGTTGTAGACATAAAAGCAATACGATTTGTAAATGTTGGTCTTCTTTCTATTCCATCAGAGGAGACATTCACTGACCCTCCTTCTCTCTCATTCCTACCAGTTGTTGAGAGAAGACCACTTAAAGGAGTAAATCCATCTCCAAAACTACTTGACGACTTATCACGATTCTTATCATTTCCTCTCATTTCTTTCTTCTTCTTTTCTTCCTTCTTCTTATTATTTTCATTGGGTTCATGTTCAAACCGCAAACGCATAAGATCCTTTACACATGCCTTCAGGTGTACAAGCGCAAGAACACTTTCTCTCACGGTGACAACATTAAGAGTCTTAGCCATACCACACCCACTTCCTGCTGGAATAGTTGCAATCATTGGCATAGAGGAGGATGAGGGGTGAAGAAAAGGAAGACTTGATCTTCTGTTATTATTTTCATTCTGTTCATTTACACATATTATATCCTTTTCTTCTTCTTTTTCATTTATAATCATTTCATTTTCATTATATTCTCTTCTCATCTCCATTGAAAGTTCACTCTCGGTATTACTAGCAACACCAAGAACAGAAGCTCCAACAGGAGGTATTGCATTTTTTGTACTACTACTACTATTATTAATATTATTATTATTGATACTAGATGGTACTGCAAAATTCCAAGAGTTTATAAGTCCTCTCCGATCCAAACCATTTACCGCTTCATGAATAATACCATCACCTCCAACACAAACAATGACATCGTTAGCATTAATTCTATTAGTGATATCTGCAATACCATCTTCACAATGACCGGCACGAGTTGTCACTATAACTTTAAGTGAATGTCTCGTTAAACGCAAGACAGGCATAACTTGTTGTTGACATGTTTTTATAGCATTACCTGAACCTGATTTTGGGCTTACAAATAATATCAATCGCTTCGCACCTCGTGGGTAAACATCACTAAGAATAGTTTGAACCATAAACTGCACATCCGCCCGATTCTCACTATCTGGAAGAGAACTAAACTCTAATGTCTGAGGTGTAAGGGATGACTTGGAGGGATGTTTAACGTAGTGTAGATAATAAATAGGATCACTCTCTCCATATACTTTTGGGCTATCAAATGCGGATTCTGCCAATGCGGCACTTTCACTACTCGTAGGGGATTGATGATGAGGATCATTCATTCCCACATCGGAAACGGCACGAGAGTGTAAGTAAACAGTTTCATCTACCCCTCTTTGCGGAGTTTTCTGTAATGAATGGAATATCTTTTTCTTTTTCTTATCCATCATCCCACCTCGATGAATACTCTCTAATGCAAATAATGGATTCGATTCCTTTTCATCCTTAAAGTGACGGTCTATTCGTATTTGACGATCTCTTACAGTTTCTACATTTATAATGCACCAAACAGGAATGTTTGCAATATTTACGAACTTTCTTTTTTTCTCACGTCGCTGAAGGAGAACACAACCTTCTCTACGCTTATATATAAGAGTGGCGTTGTGTTGAAGATATTTCACATGTGCGTACAACTCTTCAGGTTCTGTTGAGATGTGTGTACGGCTCCCATGTACATCTGCAGTTCCATTGCGTTGGTCATTCAACATATCGCTCATTGTTTTTTATTATTATTTTTTTTTTTAAGTAGTATTGGACTTCACTTATGTAGGTCTTTCGATCTATTTATCGCAACTAGACAATATGTAAACCAATTATATATATATATATACATATATATATATATATATATATGTTCTTCTTTTTTTTTCTCTCTTAAAACGGGGACTTTCTTTTTCCTCTGCAGTAGCAAATGGAAAAGAAAAATGATAATAATCCCGTTTCACTAATAAATGAGGCAACTAAACAAGAGGAAACGAATTGCTCTGTATGTGTCCTGTAGCAAGAGCTTAAAAACAAATATATATGTATATATATACGTTTTTGTTTTTTTTCCCTTCTTTTTTTTCCCTTTTCTTCTTGTAATATGTATATATATACAGGGTATAATAATTTCCTTTTGAAAGAGTGAAAAAAGAAAGAGAGAGGAGAAGAGATAAATAATAAACACTTATATATACAAGTCTCATACTTTTTTCTTTTTTTTTTTTAAGATTCCTGTGCTCCTTCGAAGAGGGATAACGTTAATAATAATAATAATAATAATAATAATAATAATAATAAAAGAAACATTTTTTCCATTCACTTCTGTACATCCATAGAACACCAAAGAAGAAACACGTACATACATTTACATTTACACACACAGAAAAAAAAAAAAAAAAAGAGAGAGAGAGAGAGAGAGAGAGAGAGAGAGAATCAGAGAGAAAGATCTAATGTATAAATAATCAATTTTCTTTTTTTTTTTCTCTCTCTCTTTTGATTTCTTTTCCCAACTAGATTCTCTACTAGTTATAACAGAAAAGTAAGTAAACGCAGGACTTTTGTACACCGCCGCATCAACACCTTTTCTGTAGGGAAATTACACATAATTGTCTGACACGTCTCTGTTAACTTCACAGTGGAAAGTTCCTCTCTTAACTCTGTCAATCGGCATTGCAGTAAAACCAACACAGAGGCAATACATTCTTCCAATAATGTTACTGCCGCACTGGAATAAGTCTCCTGCGCTTCTCGACTCATCACATCGCAGAGAACTGTAATTAATTGGGCATCCACCAACTCATTTAATAACTCACATCCCCACATGGAATCTAAACTACGATTATTACTTTCACCCAGTAATAAGGAACGAGTGGCGGAGGAATGGGGAATGGCATCTGTTGTTGTGGTTCCATTCTCAAATATATCCATTTCAGGTTTATACAATATGGAAGGAGTATCCAATAATGGTAAAGCATCTTCGTTTTTCTCTTCTTCTTCTTCTTGTTGTTGTTCTTCTCTTTCTCTTTCTTCTCTTTCTTCTTCTTCTTTTTCTTCTCCCTCTCCTTCTTCTTCTTCTTCTGATACCACATGCCTTAGTAACTCCAATAACAAGTTTGCCAAACCCATAAAAATAAAATTATCATCACTATGCTCCTTCATACGATTAACAATAATTTCGATAATACCACCACTCACCATCTCAGGAACATATCGTACATTATTTTTAACAACACAAGCAAGTGTAAAACTCGCATACCTCAATACATGACGATCATTACGATGTGTAGAAAGAGCTTCCATCGCTATCGCTATACCTTGTGTACATATAAAGAGATGCGTCGTCTCCACACGTATGGGTGAATCTTCAGACATTAGATTATATAAACAACAGAAACCCCATTGTTGAATATATGCTTGATGAGAGTATTCATTCATGATTTCCAAAACCGTTAAAACTCCATCACAACGGTAAATAGCTTCACGATTAGAATTATAAAGTGAAGTTCGAGCCAATACAGTAAGAGCGGCAAGTACAATTTCCTCATTATGTGGATAACCATCAATAATTTCTAATATAACTCCAATACCACCAAGAGATGCTACACTTGATAAATGAAGACGGTGTTCATGACTTGTCATTTCTTCCAATGCAAGTTTAACCACTTTTGGTGAATGAGAAAAGGCATGTAAAATGAGAACAAGACTTCCAAAATCTGTATAGAATTCTCTCCAAACCGCAATACTCTCAGGAGCTACAAGAGATGGTGGTTGTGTGGATCCATGAATATTATTTCGTAAACGTAATCGTTTAAAATCTTCATATTCAATAAGTTGATCACCTGCTCCAACATTCAATACACAATACCGTTGATTAATATGAAATGGTTGATTAAATACCTCATCTGGTACTGCAGCTCCCATATCAAAATTCCCTTCCACATCACTACGAACATCAACAATTGGTAAACGACAAATACCCAATACATTTAAATGAAATAAGTGTCGAACAATAGATGAAATAAAAATACCATAACTATGGTCACCACACTGATGTTGCACTCCAACAAAATCTCCTCGCATATCAAATATAGGACCACCACTACTAAATTCACTAGAGGGATCAAAAAATTCATACTCACATGAATCTTTACCCACTTTTTTTACAGTTTGTACTACATAATGCCGCTCTGTACCATTTATATGTGTAATCATTAAATGATGATCACCTACACGTACAGGAGCAATACGAGAGAGTAACAATGGTAATGGTAATGGTTTTATAGGTAGTTTTAGTCCATTTGAACTTGAGTTACTAGTATTTACAGTATTTACAGTACGTACGGGCCCTCCAGCAGCAGTACTACATCCACTCGTCACACTACCGACAGTGTAACTATGATCTAATGGTGGAAGGGACGTGGAAAAGGGAGAAGCAGAGGCACCGTGTAAAGGAGGTAAAGTAGATTGACTAGCATGTCCCTGCCAAACCTCCTCTAGTGGTTTAAGATCACAGAGTGTAAGTGTATATCCCAACTCTTCTTCATCAGCATCTTCTTCTTCTTCCTCTCTTTCCTCTTCCTCTTCCTCGTATTCATATTCATACATCTCATCATCACTAGCTCCACTAAGCATGCTATCACCATAATCAGCATGTAAAAGGTTTTCTCTATTCATGGCAAACATTCGCCGATTCTCTCGCATAGTGGCGGCACTAAATGTTGGTTCTGCCGCCCTCGCCGCCCGCCGCGGTGCTGCCTGTGATGTTGAGCACACAAACACTTTATCCACTCGCACTCCAGCAGTGACGGGCGGCACACGACGGCCGAGTCGTGCAAACGTGCCGGCGACGGGTTGTTCAAGAAATGTCACTGTAGCGCCTTGTGCCTCCTCTCGAGTGGGAAAGACAAATGAAGTGGTGAGCAGCACGCCGGGGTTTTCGTGAGTGTTGGAGGTTTGTTGAGATTGCGGGGGTTGAGAGGAATCGTGTGAGGGGAGAGCGATGAGAATGGCGGTGCCCCGCCCGTCTGTTACGCGGCAGACGGCGTGTGTGAAATCCGATATTTTCTCAATGATGGACCATCCCTCCATTGAGCGGTGGACGCGGTTGTTGAGAACACGGGTGTCGTGCACAACCCTAACCCCATTAGTACTACTGTTCATCTCACTAACTAGAGAGATAGATAGAGATATATCTATAGGGGAGAGACCTATCTAATCTATATCTATCTATCTACCTGTCGTCTATCACTTTGGAATGACACAAATACACAAAGTTCCCGCTAAAGTAATACCCAACATGTGAATGGATAAAATGAGGCAGAAAAAAAAAAA